GGACCCAAAAACAAGCAAAAAAGTTCATACAAACATAGGTCCGGAAATGAGCCGTTTCCGAGTTATAGCCACTTTTATGTTCTAAAATCGAAATTTAGAATCCGCTTGGCATCCCTCTTTCTTAATTATTTCTTAAATTAAAAATTTTTATTTTTAAATATTTTTAATTTTTTTAATTTTAATTTTTTTATTTTTTTTTAATTTTTCAATATTTGTAACGATTACATTATTTAAAAAAAAATCAGTTGTTTTCACGGCTACTTGAAATCAGTTGTTTTTACGGCTATTCAAAATCAGTTGTTTTCACGGCTATTCAAAATCAGTTGTTTTCACGGCTACTTGAAATCAGTTGTTTTCACGCCTATTCAAAATTAGTAAGTAAATCACGGCTTTTCAATAAGTTTCAAATTATTATTTAACAACACCTTACTTTTAGGTTGTATATCTAATCTTTCCGTATTCATCAATGGATCGTTTAAGTTTTAATAAATTAGCTGATATGCATCTTATGTATGGTCTTGCTCAAAGTAATGCTGCCGAGGCAAGAAGATTATACATCCAGTCTTTTCCAAATCGAGATGTACCGGGAATAGCGTCTTTTCGAAATGTAGACAAAAACTTGAGAGAATTTGGTAATTGTAATTAAAAAAAAATTGAAAATAAAAATTTACGATTTTTGAACATAAAAGTGGCTATAACTCGGAAACGGCTCATTTCCGGACCTATGTTTGTATGAACTTTTTTGCTTGTGTTTGGGTCCCGAATCACCTCCCGAAGTGGAGTAGGCGATTTTTCGGACACCCTGTATATAGGTTAGGTATGTACAAAATACAGATAAATTTTAATAATTTGTATAGCAATTGTACAAATGTGCCATATTACTTCTTCGTGTTATACACGAGTTGCATAACACAAATCAATAAATTATTTATGCTATCAATATTTAAACGATCACAAAAGAAAATATCAAGGAAATATTAAGAAAATTATATAATACAACTTGTAACTTAATTTTATCTAAAATATTAGAAAGGGCTGTAAAGGTCACAACGCGGATCACGGTGCGTTCAGATATAAATGTGATTTATTCCTCGATTTACAAAAATCCAAACGTTTCGACTCCTGTCTGAGCCATCCTCAGTGGTATAATATTAACATCAAAAATATATATTCTCCCTTAACATGGTGAGTTTACTGTTTCAATTTGACAGAAACTTAGTGAGACTAAAAGGTCCAAATCAGTTAGTCTGGAGAAAAAATACATCGCAGTCAAACGGAATAATAAGAAAATAAGGCAAAGAAAATGATCTGTGCAGAGCGATCTGTAAGACGAGATCCCATCGACACGACGCACAACGAAAGACATTCTGAATGATCTCGTCTTACAGATCGCTCTGCACAGATCATTTTCTTTGTTTTACTTTCTTATTATTTGGTTTGACTGCGATGTATTTTTTCTCCAGGCTAACTGATTTGGACCTTTTAGTCTCACTAAGTTTCTGTCAAATTGAAACAGTAAACTCACCATGTTAAGGGAAAATATATATTTTTGATGTTAATATTATATCACTGAAGATGGCTCAGACAGGAGCCAAAACGTTTGGATTTTTGTAAATCGAGAAATAAATCACATTTATATCTGAACGCACCGTGATCCGCGTTGTGACCCTTACAGCCCTTTCTACTTATATTTTAGATAAAATTAAGTTACAAGTTGTATTATATAATTTTTTTAATATTTCCTTGATATTTCCTTTTGTGATCGTTTAAATATTGATAGCATAAATAATTTATTAATTTGTGTTATACAACTCGTGTATAACACGAAGAAGTAATTTGGCACATTTGTACAATTGCTATACAAATTATTAAAATTTATCTGTATTTTGTACATACCTAACCTATATATATATGTAATTAAAAAATATATAGTGCCAATAAATAAATATATAGCGCGCGTCTGGTTGTACATTATGTTTTATTTCTATCTCAAATGTAACCTTTGTTGTTTATGCATGCGTTTCTGCGCGTTATAACGCACGTCAAACATGCGTCTCCATACATTATCCCAATCAAAACGCGCGCGTCTGACACGCAATGATAAATTAGAAAGAGAGAGAGACTTATAACAATGAGAAGAAGTGAGACAGATTATCGGTGCTCTGATTGGTTACATACCTCGCACGCGCATGTGCAGTTCATTTTTATCCACGCTAACATCAAAAGTGCCGACAGAGAGTTGCGCTACTGTATATACTGTGACGCAAGCTCATGCGGCGGCTTCTTGATAATGCAAAAAAAAATCGCCATTTTAAAATACTCGAGCGCGTCAGATTATTATACAGGTGATTCAGCTTGATGTCCTAGTCGTGCTGACCCATAATCTGACGATTATTTGGAGGAATTTTCTTAATCTGACAAAAAAAATTTAATTAAAAAAAAAATTTTTTTTTAAATTACTAAGTGACAAGTAAAATCATAGAAAATAGAATGCAAATAAAAAAATATATTTTTTTCAATTATAATATATAGGTACAGAAAAAATAGTAAAATAAAAAAAAACTTTAAAAATATATTTTTTTAAATCTTTATCTTCATCTTTTTCTTCCGTGGAATTATTGTCGTACTGCAAGTCTGGTTTGATTTGTTCGTCAATTTTATCTTCAGCTTGCATATCTGTAACAAGAAATCGTTATAATACTTAATATTTTATTTATTTCATGAAAAGCGTGTTATCAAAGTTTTGAAAAAAAAATATACCTGAATCTGGAGTATCTCCTAGAATATTAGGTGTTATGACTACATCGTCGTACGCTTCTGGTAATTGATTACCAACGAACCAAGTCATTTCCAATTTGCCTTTTACATCTGTCCATCCGTAATCTGTTGGTGACATGTCGATGCTGTTTGGATTGTGTGCATTCCTCCACAAGCATGCAATATATCTTGTTCGTAATAATTGCTGCAGTAACTCCGATTGACATGGTGGCAAGCAACAAGCATCGTAATTACGAACATTCAACGAGAAGGGCTGTGATGTATCTGATACCTTGTATGTCGTATTGAAGATTTCAATTCCAGCTCTGTTGACATCATCTAATTTTTTTAAGCCATACAAGTAGCAGATAAAAGATTGTATGATGTTAAAAGATTCATCTATATTATAATCTTTAAATCCCAAATCTGCAAATTCTTTTTGAAAAATTTATGAATTTATTAGAATATCTAGAGGTTTTTTCTTGCCTCGTCTATAAAGTGCCGGGTTGAAATCACATCCTGTTAGCGTATGAAGAGCTGGTAGCGCTCGCGAAACTATTGGGCCTAGCTTAACAGAGAGTGCGGAAACGTCGATATATCGGCGTGCATTACTTACTCCGAGATCCATCCATATTTTCAGTGATGCTTGAAGATGTTCCATATTGGCCAACATGATAACAACAATATCTGTATCAGAGGTTCTGATTGTAACAGTAGAATCTTCTTTTAGCTGACATGCAAGAAATACTGCTTTTGTATCCGCTTCTTCGTAATCAGGACATGACAGTTCATGATCGATGGTTCGCGTTACTTTATTAT